CAGACGAAAGAGGAGATCGACGACAAAAACCCTAGGAAGATGAGGGGTCTGTTTGATTTACTGATTTTGATCGGGTGAGGACGAGGGCTACGGTTATATGAAACAAAAAATAAATTGTTTTATTTTTTTTTTGTTAAAGTTTGGGCGCGAACATAAAGCCTATAACAAAACCGTCCCCTTAGCCCATAATAAAACCGCCCCCTTAGCCCATTATAAAATTTTAGCCTAAGCCTAAGTCAAACACAACGCTTTAGTTTAAAGCGTTGTCTTAGATTTCTTCGTAACGGTTGGAACCGTCACCAAACCGTTCCCTTAGAAGGCAAAGGGAACAGTTTTAAACCGCGCCCCACGAACCGTCCCCATATAGCCATTATGTGGTAGTGATATTGGACATCGTGTAACAGTGGTAGATGAAGTAATTCACATGCATTCAGATGTCTAACCGCGAAGGTTCAACCTCTATACATTGTTATATTGAAACTCAAGGGAATAGAAATTAATCTCAAATGAGCAGCACCTCCATATGTCAACAAAACTAAGAAACCAATAGTAATTACAGACCATCAACTAAAACAGGGGACATATGGAAATACACCAATGAAGGAAGCAAGGCTCTCAGCAAAATAATCTCATACACAGATCTAACCAGCTGTTTGAAAATCCCAAAAGTCGTCTTCTACTACCTCTTGAGAGCTTGTTTCCTTCACTAGGGATTGTGAGTCTTTAGATACTGCTTCTATGCTCGTGCTGCTCAGAAAACTACAAATATAGTCTTTTCTACCTGAAAATAAACAATTGTCAAGATAAATAAAAAAATATTACATAATTGATGCAACACAATTATTTAGCTCAAGTGCCCTTCTAGGAAGGCTTAAACATGCCACCATCTCAATTGCAGTTGTAAATAAGTAAAAAAACATACAATATTTTCATGAGAAAGTCATAACTAATAGAAGGTAGTAATTAAGATATTACAATCATCCAAAATAAAAAAGCATAGTCTAAATATCTAAATTATTACAATCATCCAAAGTTTTAGAAGTTCTCAATACAATAACGTCAAGCATGAAGGATTAGAGCGTACTTACCCCATTTTCTCTAAAAAGTTATAGATCCAGATTACCTTTTGCTCATGAGATCTCATAAGAAAACTTGTCGCGGTGGAAGAATGTTCCATTAAAAAGTCACATGCCTTGTCTAGGTCTTGTTGCTTAATGCTTTGAAGCTTTCACAACTCTTTAGTTATCTTTCTTGCTCTTTCATTTTCAGCTTGGTGTTTTATCAACATAACCTCTGAAACTCCACAAACCTCCGTGGGCATTTTCAACATTATCTCAAGTTGTAAATCTTTTATTTTCTTTCCACTTTTGATTTTGTTCTTAACTTTAGATCCTTGAGATGTTGATTCACTAGGACCACGAGTTGAAGATTGTATTGAAGTATCCCAAGAAGAGGTGGAATCATTACGGCCAATCATATCCATATCTTCCATCATGTCATTAGTTTTAGTGCCATGCTCCATTACTTCCTCAATGTCTTCTAATCCTATAGGCTGGTGAGTATCAACGGTGTACTTCCCCGTTGCGTGATCATTGCCGCATATCAAACTCATTTCTTCATAGAACTGGATAGGTTTATTAGTGAACGGTTCGTCCTTTGGATTTGCCTATACAATATAACAATATAACAGTCATAGTGTGAAGACAGAATCGAACAAGTTGTAATTATGATTATATCCCTACTTACTACTGCTGAGGAAGAAACAGATAAGCCAAGTGAATACATTACCTCGATATATGTAGAATATTCCTCTTGACCCATTTGGATGCTTTTGTTTTCTTCATCCCATCCAACTCACTCATCTCCTTTAGCCTTTGAATTCTAACCCACCTTGTTTTTAGGGTCCTCCAATGATTGTAAGCGTTATCCTCTAAAATGTTGATTCCAAATTCTTCATTGATATGCTTTGCTGCAGTGATATAAACGGGAGCTTTGAATCCCTTGTCAACTTTGCATCCACCACGTACTTGTTCTATCAAAAATAATATTAATGACTTTGACCATTGAGGTATCACCCATTCTTCATTGATTTTGTTCAAATGTTTCTATGGTAACACCCATTTTCTACTTGTGAAAAAATACAGATTATATAATATTCAACAAATAACATAGTAAAAGATATAAAAAATATTTTTAAAAGATTACATATCATTACACCCTTCTATTAGCCCACATATCTTTGGCTATTAGCTCACGCTTTTGTAACCACTCTCTTGCCTCATCTCTTTGCTCTCTCACTGACCGCCCCACTTGAGAAAGGTTTTGATTAACTCATTCTTCTTCAGAAAGAATCAACTCATCTCCACCATTTGTGATAACAAAATTATGTAGAATACAACAACAAAGTACAAGATCTACTTGGGTGTGGAAAGGGAAAAAAGGTCTTGATGCTAGAATTTTGAAACGTCCTTTTAAGGAAGCAAATGCTCTCTCTACAGAAGTACGCAATGATGAATGTCTTAGATTGAATAGTTCCTTGTACTCTGTGAGTGAACGTTCACTATACTCATGAAGATGGTATCGAACTCCACGATATGGTGCGATAAATCCCGTCTTTGTTGAGTAACCAACGTCTACAAGATAATATTTTCCTAAAATTGAATATTAAATTTTAGCCAAGTCTGTTATTAAATTAGAAACCAAGTTTGCACATTTTTATTTCATTTGAGGTATCTTCAAGCCATTTGGTCTTTCAATAGCATCTTTTAATACTAGTGCCTCATGAGCAGAGCCTTCCTAACCGACAAGTACATAAGTAAAGTTCCAATCAAAATCAATGGGACCAAGAACGTTCTGAGTACGATATGGTTTCCTATCGCGAAAGGCTCCCACCATATTTGAGGGTACCTAAGCTTGCCCATGTGTTCCATCTAATGCACCTACACAATCCTAGGAACACTTCTATTTTTTAGTATCACAATTCATGATTGACAAATAAATTAAATTGTAAAAAACTAATTGTACTTTAAAATAAGGCCAAAATCTAGAGCTTGTTGATATTCTCGGATGTGTTGTGCTACTTGGTCCCTTGATGTATTCACCACGCAATTCTCTAATGGCATGTAAAGTTTCCTTGAAGTTTCTACTAAAGATTTCACTAGATCTTATAAAGTTGTGATTGATCACTCGATTATGAACATTGTGTCCTATAGTATGTAAAAACATGGCAACTTGTTCCTCCACAGTTACATGAATGGTGTCTTTAAGTAATCCCCTAGTTCGCAATGTGTCACACAAATTTATAAAATGTTGCTTCGTCAATCTGAGCATGTTTACATAGTTTACATCTGAATCATCAAGTAATCTAAGCAAAGAAGTTTGAGAGTCTCTATTTACTCTAGAAACCATTTTGTCTAATATTTTCTCATCAGTTCCCATCCATAACATAACAGAAAATACACATGATACTACAATATATGCGGCTATTTCATCATCTACAGGATCAAGTGCCAAATTTAAATTCCATTCCATCTATAAGAAGGAAAAAAAATAAATACCAAAAAATGACATGGATTAAAATTTACATTGACAATGAACAACATTATGCTACTGAAACTACTTTTACATCAAAAAATGATAGATTTATATCAAAAAATGGTAGATTCATATCAAAGTTAAAGCTCATTTAACTTTGCTTTGTCTCAGGATTAAATAATACATGATCCAAGTTGCACTATAGCCTCCAATAATAACACTATAACAGATCATGCGACCACAACTTGAAAAAAAATGTAGAAAAATTACCAAAATATGATAATATCCAATACCGAAAGCGTACTGAATAATTGAACAAAGAGGGGTTCACAAATGGACCCAACAAAAATTACAGATCTCTCACGATCTAAAACCCTTGTTGATCGTAAAATTGGGGGTGGGGGACCGAAACTGACCTGATAAACGTACGGTTGGAAAGACGTTGAGAATAAAGCAAACTAACTATTTGTTATGAATCTGTCATTAAAAAGATCAAATTCCTAATTTTTACATCTATAAACCCAACTTGGCCACAAATCAGAGAAATCTTCAATTTTTGCATGATCCTTTTCCACCTCCAAAAAAAGCAAACTAACTACTTCATATGAATCTGCCATTAAAAAGCTAAAATTACCAATTTTTACATCTTTAAACCCAACTTGGCCACAAATCAGAGAAATCCCCAATTTCTTATATCGTCATACCCAACTCACCCATAAATCAGAGAAAAAGGATGAAAGCAAGAAAAAATTGAAATCAAGAAAATGCAAAAAACAAGTATAGAAATTACAGGCCTAACCTTGATGAAGAAACAATCTTTGAAAATTTGAGGAGATGCTCAGACCCTTGATTTTGAGGATTGATGTGACGCCCTTATTTTCACACATGACTAGAGTCCAAGATGAACCCAGAGATATCAAACATGTCATGTACCCACACTGTGCAATAACAAGTTTTACCAATCACAACAATATCCTCTAGTGGAATCAAAATAAAGTACATGTACAAAACATGCAAAAAAAGGAAATAACTACAATATACATGATATAGAAAGAAGTATCTCATAAATAAATCATGTCTTAATGAACAACCTAGAATACATCTGATATCCAAAATGAATAAATATGTTTCGATAAGAAACAACTAAAAATCGTACTAAGGTACACTGTCTTTACACTATGAAATAAACTCTAAGGTCTGAATAAAAATATAAAACTACAATGGAGCCTCTAATAAATCTCATGCGACGGTGACTATGTAAGAACTCTATCATCCTGCGACTCTCCAGTACTCCGAATTACCTGAAAGAATATTAGAAGAAAAAGAGCAACAACAAGAGCGTCAGAGCGTTATAGCAAGATCACCTCCATCCGCCCCCAGGAGAAGGGCTGTTAGATGGAGTGGAAGCTCTATCTATTAAGCATAATACCTAGATCATTTCCCCCCGTATCTAATGGAATTAATATTTAGACACCTACAATACGAGACGTAGTACGTCGAGCGAAATAATCAAAACAAGAAAACTCTCATGTATACACCATATGTCCCGAATTGTAAACATCTAAACATTAATACCAAACTAAAGGTAAACAATCTAAATGAAGTCAACAATTAGAAATCTACAACACGAGACTGATACGTCAAGCGAAATAATCCAAACAAGGAAACCCTCATGTATATACCATATGTCTCAAATTGTGAATCACTAATTATTGATCTCAACTAAGAAAATAAAGAAAAGCAGTAAAAGAAAGTAAATACATCAACATATCGTATTCATAATATCTTAAGAAAATAAAGAAAAGCAGTAAAAGAAAGTAAATACATCAACATATCGTATTCATAATATCTTCCACTATCATTGGGAAGATAGAATGAATATCGGTACAAATCCCGTGTACTTTCAAATGCAAAGTACTCTGGGTCATATATTTCAGCAGTGAGTCAAAAACATAACTGGTATCCGCTAACGACTCGGGTTATCATTTAAATATCTTAATGCAACTCCGTGTAAGATTCTGATTCATCGTATCATCATGCAGGATAGACTACTTAGTCAGTATCCTAACAGTGTACACGGCTCATTAGTCTCATCGCATCTATGTACGCAACACGAGTGTGGGACGGGCTACATTGTAGGCATGCTAGAAATACGGCTCACAAGCCTCATCGCACCCTAGTATGGGACAGATTGCTAGATAAAGTATCCTAAACCCAACTCAATGACCTGTACAAATAGAATATCAACACACTACCCCCGTAGTACTGAACTGAGCTCATCAACGATATCCAGAAGGTGTGTGTATAATATGTACTAAACTCTTTCTCAAGGTAATCGGGTCAAAACCCATTATAATTCCTTTCAGTATACCCATGTGTGTGCTACTACACTATTCATGAATTTATGTATAAAGAAGTATGAATCGAAACCCACAAACATATCTTAAACAGATGTAAAATAAAAATTCAATCAACAACCTTAGTAGTCGACTACTAGGCTTAGTAGTCGACTACACTAAATCCATCTAGACTCTGTAATAATATATATCAGTATCAGTAGTCAACTATTAAGACCATTAGTCGACTACTCTGCAAACACACAGTTTCTATTATACTCAACTGGGTACGAGTAGCCGGCTACTAAGCTTAGTAGTCAACTACTCTATTCAGACACACATTCTTTTGTGCACAAACAGTGCTTATGTCAACTGTACATATCATAACGTTGAAACGAGATTTTATACTTAGCGTATGCAACATGAATTATCTGAATCACCAAATTAAATTATTATATCTTCCAAATTAGGGTTTAACATCCTAATTAAACAATTTCTTCAATTGTCTCATATGTAAACAAAGTGATTATCAACACATGAAAACTACTCATGAACAGAGATAAAATTTATTTAAATGTGTTTATCTTACTTAGGTATCACAAACCTAGGGTTTAAGCATGATTAATTAACATGAAAACTCAAAGAAACGATCCTCACAACCAGCGGGAAAAGGGTTTGGTTCCACAAACTCTGCCATCAGGGCAGGTGATGTGGGTTCATCCGGACCTTCTCGATGACGAGCAGTGGACTGCACAGCCTTCAAAGGAGGCTAAGAGGAAACATTGCAACGTTGTCTCCAACATGAAAACTCAAAGAAACCTTCACGTAATATATTAATTATTTCAAATCAGCATATCTGTAGTTTTCTGCAGAATATATTATTAGTAAATTGAGCATATCTTTCTCTAGAAAAACTCTTTTTTAAGAATAGTTTTGTATTTTGGAAACTAG